CAGACTGATTTTGGTTAGTTTTTGTACGATGATTGATGATAATCATTTTCCAAATAATTTTGAATCACACTGTATACGTAAATCATAACTGTACTCATCCACCGATACTGTAATCAGAAAAATGAGACTATTTTGACGTTGTCGTCGTTGACGAATGGTCATACAAGGGTTTTGTCCGCTACGCGCTTAAGTTTGGCCTATCTAATAAAATACACGTCTATAATTTCAAATATACGAAGTGTTTAAACGAAATTGAACAAAGGTACAACCTTTTAACAAAAGAAAGAATAAAGGCATCTTCACTAAAGAAATCGTTTAAGGTTAGTACATTTTCTTGCAAAAGTGCACAACTGTTGACAACACAACTTGACTGAGTCAAGTCAATACTAGACGGGGTACTCTGCGTGATACCCTGGGTTTCCTTGGCGTGTTGCAACATGTTCTGCTCCACAAAATAGTATTGATACTAGACGGGGTGCTCTGCGCGCCATCCCGGGTTTCCTCATTACGCCCTCAACTGTTTAAGAATATAATTTTTTATTTTATATTTAACTAATTGCACCATCTTTTTTACCGTTCGAGTTTGACTCAATGATGGAAAAAGATCAGTTGACTAAGCTTATTACTTTGAAAGAAAATGAAGAGGTTGAAGAGGTGAGTTCAATATTATAACATTAACTTACTAATCTTTTTCTTCTGCTAATTATATGAACTTAATTATGCAGTACGAGTACCAAAATACATTGAATACTCACGTGAGAGAGGAGAAGAAAACTTTTTCCAGTCAGCAACTAGAATCACGGAAACGAAATTGCGTGAATATTGGTTTTATTCTTACATGTGCTATTTTTTACACAGTAAATTTATTCATTTTTTTTCTTTTAGGATTTGGCTTTCTCGGAAAATAATAATCCACAAAAAAGGAAACATGTAATTGAAGATGTCGAGAAGAATCCGGTTTTAATACCTAAACTAAGAAAGAAAATTTCGAACAAAAAGAATAGCTTTAAAGTAATTATAGTTACACTTAAAGCTTCTCGTAGGCCAGATATATAAATTAACATTAAAAAAAATATCTATAAGATTTAGGAAAAAAATGGCAAAGGAAAGAGCTGTAAACGTATAGAAGAAAGTGATTTTGAAAGTGAAGGCGATGAGTCTTCTTGCAAAAGTGAAAATGCCGGAGATTCTGGGTCAAGTGATTATGAAAGTGATGGTGATGAGTCTCCTTGCGAAATAACGAAGAGGAATCAAATAAATCGATCAATGATTTCCGTTATGAAGGAATATTGCAAAAAAAATTCGACATCTAAGTTTGAGTAAGTTTATCCTGACTAGAGGTTTTGCTTCGATCTACTAATATATTTTTTACACTGATATGCCAATTTAGTCATGCACATAGCTACATTCTTGATCTTCAAAAATTGCGAGAGAATTTGCACCAAATTATTGGTCCGAACTCATTTCCGATCGTCCTAATGTAATTAATGTGGTGTATCATGGTGAATTAAAACCAATTCTTGATCATTTGTTTGAACGAAAAGTATATATCGTTTTTATAACTTGAGTCTTTATTGATCAGTCTCTCAAAGAATGTTTGTATTTTAACTGATAGAGACTAAATATTCAACAAGCTCGTGCTCGATGGGAAAGTTTAAGAAATATTAAGGCTCCTGAATATGAGGAAGGATTCTCGTATAATAAAGATGACTGGAAAAAAATTATATGGTGGATAGAATGGGCTGTAGGTCGATTGTAAGTTACGATAATTTTGTATCCCTTTTTTCTGAGGTGTCGTATAGTTTATAAAGTAATGATATCTTTTTATATAGTCTTGATGCATTTGAATCTGAACGAAACCCATTAATGCAACAAGATTGTCATGAGAGAGAATGGTTGGGAGGTTACCTGATTCCAATTTTTCAAGGTGCTTTGGCACTTGATGGTCGTTTTCGAGTAGCATGGTTTGTTATTACAATTGAGTTGTAATTTGTATTTAAATTGTTTAAAGATAATAACTTTTTGATTACTTTGTACAATAGGGGAGAAGTTACAGTGCAAGCTTCTTTACAAAGACGTAATGCTGACAAAAAAGTTACATAATATATGCATATTATGTATTTTAGCATTTTCATTATTATTATATTATTTTACATACTAAAAATGTTAATGATGCATCAATATAATATATTATTAATTAAACAATAGGCTTTTATATATATATATCATTATTACTTACTCTGTCTATCTAAGTTTCTTTAAATTCTTTACTATAAAGATTTTTACCTTATCATTAATCTCTACTCTTATAATCTTATTATTATTACATATACCAATAATCTTTTCATTAATACTATATATCTGTTCTAACTTTTATTTTCTTATTTTTTAATTAGTATTATGATTTAAAGTAATTATAATCTTCTCTTCAGGTTCAAAAGCTAATTTTCTTCAATGAATACTTCTATAGATTACTATCTTATTTTAATAAAGCTTATTATTTTATACAATCTCTATTCATATTTTTTTTATTTATCTTATATGAGTTTTATAGATGATAACTTGATTATTATTCTCTTGTATTACTTTAGTAATTATTTTGTACAGAATATCTTCTTCTTATATTTTAATCAAGACATAAACTTCAGTATTAAAAATATTAACTTGTTTTAAAATCTCATTAAATTATATTATTTTATTCAGAATATTATTAATTTGTATTATTTCACTCAAAATATTATTGATTTATATTATTTTGCCTAAAGTATTATTAATTTATATAATTTCATCTGGCATATTATCAAATTATATAATTTTATCTGAAGTATTATGAACTAGTATAGTTTTACTTAGCTTATTATCAATCTCTATAATTTTATCTGGTCTATCATGAGCTTATATAGTTTTATCTAGTATATTATTAATCTCTGTGATTTTATCTGATTTATTATGAGCTTGTGTGATTTTATCCAGCATATCATAGACTTTTCTCATTTTAAACTCAAAAAATGCTTTGTAAGATGATTTTTTATAAGCTTTATAAGATATTTTATTATAGATAATTACAAAAAAAGAAAGAATATTAATCTATTGATAATTCTGAACTTCAAAAACTTTATTTTATAATATTTTTATTAGATGCTGATCAAGTATTTGATTAAATCTTTCAATCTTGTCTTGACTTTACAGATAATAGGTATGATTATAAATAAGTTATATTTTAAGTACTTTATAAGTATATTTTAAAATACTAGTTATAAATTCTAATTTGTTATTTGCTTGGAGTTTTGAAAGTAAATCAAAATTCATAAAGACTTTAACTAATTCATAATAAATTATATTATCTTCTTTATCTTAAAATGAAATAATTCAAATATAACATGAAAATATATTAATTATTATAAGAATATAATTATATCTATTATTATACTTAGTAAAAGAAAGTAAATCAACTAAATTGACTTGAATATATTTAAGAGGGCTATTGATTATAATAGATATCAAATTAGCTTTTTCTTTAATGCTAGTATTTTGAATATAAATCAAATAGTTTCTTACATACTTCTTAGCTTTATCTTAAATAATACTAATATATTGCTCAAAGAGCATTATATATATTTTATGATATTTAAAGTGAATGATTTCAATATGAAACTTTTTAAAGAGAGCTATTTTTAACTCTATGTCATAGGCTAAAATAACTTTTTTGAAGATAAGCCAGAAATTTTCATTTTTTGATAATTGAATATACAAAAGATAATCCTTTTGATAGTCATATAAAAAATTTTTGTATTATCTTTAGAAATTCACTCTCTTTGTTAGGATATTATACTTTACTACAAAAGTATCAAATCTGAGATATCTCAAAATATTATTAAAATTCTTGAATATATTTAGCATTTTTGAAAGCTTAATCATTTTGAGAAAAGAGAATAAAAAATTAAAAACTATATGGTATATTTATTTAATATGTAATAATTATATTTATATTTGAGTTTATCTGATGTATAGTATTTATATTTGTATTCAATATATAAAAATTATGATATATATAATGCAAGTAAAACTATACTTATTTATATATCTTGATTTTGATATAGCTTTTTTTTATACAACTAACAAAAATAACTTAATCTAGCACAAAATATTGAAAAGTAATATAAATATCACAAAGTGAAATTCAGTATAGCCTTCTTTCATACAATTAACAGAAATAATACAAAATATTGAAAAGCAAATGAAAGCAAAATCTAGTATAAAATACCTGAGAAATTAATAGCAAAAAGTATGTCAAATATCAAAAAGATATGGTAAATATGATATTACATCTACTAGCAATAGCTTTATTAGTCACTATACTATCATTTGATTAGTATTTTATTAACTTATTTGATTATTAACAATATTTTATTTATCAAGATATATTATAATATCTATTAAGACTTCTCAAATTAGAAACAGAATTGTGATTTGTTTATTTATAATCATCATAAAGTATTTTGAGATGACAAAATCAGTAATTTTTGATAATAAAAAATATATTAAAAGATAGTAATTTTGATAGCAAGAAATAAAATAACAGTATCAAGTGATGACAATTTCAATAGCAAGAAATAAAATAGCAATATCAAATGATAGTAATTTCAATAGTAAGAAATAAAATAATAATTTTAAGATCTAAGTAAAAGAAAATTTCATGGTTTAGTAACTCAAATGTATAATTCTGACATACTAATCACAAAATAAAACTAATTTAATGATCTATTTAATAATTTTCAATATTAATTTAACATAATTATTATGGAAGTGACAGATATAATAGAAAAAATCACTTTATATTACTAATTCATATAATTAATATATATGCTATAATAATTTTGAATAAATAAAATATATAATATGATATCATGTGATGTATATAAAAAATTAGCTCAAATTTTATTTTAATCTGATTTTATTTTAATCTGCCATATTTATTAATCTTACTAATTTTTTTTCTTATTTTTTAATAATAATTTCTTGAGTTAGTTATTATTAAATGAAAATTTTCTAATTATAAATGTACTTTTATCCTTTAGAGATATATTTAAGAATTTAAATACTCTTTAATATTCAAGTAAGTATTCTGTTTATTATTATTATTATTATTATTATTATTATTATTATTATTATTATTATTATTATTATTCCTATTTACTATAGTGTAGTTGCACTCTAATTCTATGCTAATTTAACTTACAAAGTAAGAATTACAAATTAAAGTTTGAAGAAAAGAGCTATCAGAAAATCTATGAAAGAGAATCACAATGTGACTAGCCACTATAGACCTGTCTAAGACTACACTAAGTCTAATTGTGACTTAATTTACACATTTTATCCTGCAAATTAAATATTGTATTAAAAAAATTAGATGTCACATCTGAATTAGGTGATGATGAGAAGTTATTGCCAGCTGCTGCGTTTTCTGATAGCTCTTGCAAAAAAGAATTATTGTGATTGATCTTTTCTGCTATTTGTAAAATAAAAAAGTATAGTTAGGATATTATGTCTTGCATAGTAATTGTTTAGGATGCCAAAGACTGAAGTGTTTCTTCTAGATTGCCTAAGAATGTGTCTTCTTAACTGTTATTGTGATCTGGTAGATTGTCAGAGATAGAGAAAGAAGATGTTACTACTGTATTCTTGATATTAAGAACAGAATTAAGTTTATTAGTAATGTCAATGATGGTATTTACGAGAGTTATTAGAGTTAATTCTAGAGATGAAAGTCTAGAATCTAGCTGAGATATGATTATATTAAGAGAGAAGTGAGATATAATTGTTGAATTATGAGTATTTTGTTTGGCTGCTATCACATAGGTATTGGAATTGAATGATGAGAAAGGATTTATTATGACATGACTTTCTGTATTATCAATCTTCATTGAGTGAGATCTGTTTTTTCTGAATCTTGAGCTTGCAGTTTTACTTTTTTGTTTGATAAGATCTCACATGAGCTTATTAAGTGATCCACTCTATAACAGTAATGACAGATTTGAGTAGCTGTTGAGATTCAAACTAACTGTTTATCACGATATATGAAGTGGCTTTATAACATATACTGTAATTCATTTTCTGATTCAAAAGTAACATATATATATCCAAGATATGTATATTTTTTGATTGATCTGGATATATAGCATGACTTGGTATTAAGTTACTCTAGAATATCTTCTAGTTCAAGTGCTATACAATTTGTTAAGAGATTTGCAAGTTTTACTTTATACTGAGTTTATTGCATACAGATATCTTTATAATTAACACGAGAAGTAATACAAATCTAATCTTTTTTGATATGAGCAGACTAATATTATGAAAGATTTAGTTGATCATCTGATTCTACAAATGTGACTACTGCGGATAGCTATTAGAATATTTCTTTGATATTGATTTTTTTTATGGTACTAATAGGTTGGATAGCTATTTCAATTTCTTTGATAGTGATACCAAGAGGTATGTTACAGATTGCAATTTCTGAGAGCTTTTGTTGAATTATTAGAACTTGAGAACCAGCTGATGGTATGTTAAGATTATTAAGATGAGAAATAACTTTATTATGAGAGCTTTCATTCTTGTATTTGACTTTAAAGTAATGATATAAGTGAAGATTGGAATTGATAATATCAAGAAAGTGATTATTACTAATGCAGTTTTTTGATAGTTATTCACGCTTGAGAGTAATGGAGCTGTTATTAATTTCTTCTGGATCGCAGAATAGGAAAAATCTTTTTTTGCATTTTACTATAGTTTAACCATTATCATTATATTCAGATGAAGTTAGTATATTATTTACATCTTGCATGATGTGATCTTCTAATATTATTTCAGAAGAGGAAGGAGATACAGATTGATTTGATAATAAGTTAACTCGATTGTTAGGTATAGATGATATATCATTATTATCTTTTATATTAGATAGTTGTACTTGTATTATTATAGTTACTGGAACT